GCTGGGTCTAGGAGAACCGCTTAGATCGTCGTCATGCGTTCTTTACCTGTGGCAGGCAATCGCCGGCCCGTTCGACGGGTCGCCGTTCGCACGGGCAACGGCGTCAGCGCACCGGAGGTGCAGCGCGAAACGTTTTCACACCTCGCGCTTATCAACGTCGAGCTCGCAAGGGCAAAGCGCTCTTCGAATCGCTTGAAGAACATTTCGTTCCTGGGTTTGAGGTAGTACACAAAAAGAGGAAGCTGGAAGGCTCCCTCGTCGCCTGGTGGTAGAGCTGGTGCACTCTATCCTTGGGCAGCAGGGCGCTCAGTTCTTCAATGCCCGCATCCAACTCGTGCTGGTTGCGAAGCCGCCAGCAGCAGAGAAATTGCATGTTGACTCGAACGGCCGCGCTGATGAGCCGCAGCTTCTGGGAGCTGACCCAGTCGAGATCTGCAGATGCCGGCCGCGGATGAAGAGCGTGTCCAGCGCCATATGCAGCTGCGGCGTGTCTGCGAAGTTGTCGCAGATTATCAGGACCTGGTACAGTTTCTTCATTTCGAAGTTCTTAGACGCTTCTGTGATCTTACCCTGTTGCTGGATGATGCGTCTCAACGCCGCCTCGTCCCATTCGTCCCAGTACGCCTGCTCGCGCTGCGTGTTCACGCCCAGGTCTTGCTCGACGTACCTCTTCACTGGAATCCAGCCATCGTCGATGTTGACGCTGGGAAAGAAGACGTAGATTCGCTCAAAGACGCCCCGGTGTTGCTCCAGGATCAAGCTGAGCATCGCTATCGTTTTTTGCTGTTCGAGGGGCCCAAAAAGACGCGTGTGCACGGCACTTTCGGCACGACCGGGTTGCTGGGCTGTTTGCTCGTGTTTTCTGGGGTGGGGAGGAGCTTAATCCTCCCCATGGCTTGCGGCCAGTTCTCTAAGGCCAACCGTGGTGCCCGGAAGCAACACTCCAGCGCGCGAACCGCCAGCTCGACCCAGCCGGGCCGCGGAGCAGAGCGCCCGGCCCGGGGGCCTTGGGGCGGCTTTGCGGGGGCCGGCGCGCGGTCCGGGCTCGTCGGCAAAGGCGGGCTGCGCCAGTACATGTTCTTTACCACACCCAGCACGCGCCGACGAGCCATCCGCACGCGCCGCAGGAAGAGGCGCGCCGAAAAGCGCGCGCCGTCGCGAGCGCGCGCTTTGGCGCAAGCGGCGCAAGCGGCGCAGCCGGCGGCGCGCTTCCGGAAGGCCAGCGGGGGCCTTTGGGGGCGAGCCGGAGGCGGACGCAGAAGCGCGAACACAGAGGCTGTGGGCGCACCGCGCGGAGCAAGGTCACAACCGCCCGGTTGCTGCAGAAGTTAAGAATGCTCCGAAATTCCCTCTGTAGACGCATTTGGGAGCGGTTTCGGAGCCCTATACATGAGAGAGAGTTGCATCGCATGCCAGTTTGATTGGAAACTCAACACTGTACTCACGTTTCGTCATGCAGCTTTGGCTTTTGCATGACCAAGGTCCGCTGCACCCCTTCTGTCCTCAAGCCACTCATGCCGCCTACCACGTCCACCAGCCTTTCGATGTGCACGCTTCTCGCATGCAGTCAGGGCAAGTGACATGTCGCATGCTGTCAGCCACTCTGGATGCAGCCAGTCGCCCCCTTTTGCCGACCAGCCGGGCTTACGGCCTGGCGACGGTTGCCTAGCATCCAGGCTGCCTAGCATCCAGGCGTGCTTGGCAGATAGCGGCACGGGGGCTTCCGGGAGTAGTCGAACAACCTTAGTAAATACGTAGACTCAAGGACCTTGGACTCGGAAATTCCGATCCGCAGGAGTGGCTTGGCTCAAGCCATTTCCAGTGCTGTGCTTATTGCGGACTGGCGCGTTTACAGGCAGCAGTGCCTGTGACGATTTTTTCAGCAGCAGTTTCTGTGAAGACATTTGAGCTTACTGCGGACTGGCCGTGGTTGTCTGGTTGATTGGTTGACTGGTTGACTGGTTGACTGGTCAACTGGTTGGCTGGTTGACGGTTGACTGGTTGACTGGTTGACTGGTTGACTGGTTGACTGGTTGACTGGTTGACTGGTTGACTGGTTGACTGGTTGACTGGTTGACTGGTTGACTGGTTGACTGGTTGACTGGTTGACTGGTTGACTGGTTGACTGGTTGACTGGTTGACTGGTTGGTTGACTGGTTGACTGGTTGACTGGTTGACTGGTTGACTGGTTGACTGGTTGACTGGTTGACTGGTTGACTGGTTGACTGGTTGACTGGTTGACTGGTTGACTGGTTGACTGGTTGACTGGTTGACTGGTTGACTGGTTGACTGGTTGACTGGTTGACTGGTTGACTGGTTGACTGGTTGACTGGTTGACTGGTTGACTGGTTGACTGGTTGACTGGTTGGCTGGTTGGCTGGTTGGCTGGCTGGCTGGCTGGCTGGTTGGTTGGTTGGTTGGTTGGTTGGTTGGTTGGCTGCGCGTGGGTTTTAAATAATGGAAAACACATACGCTGAATTATTGGCGTAGGGGCTGGGGGGCTCAAGCCAGCAGACTATGCAAGAAGTCTGCTCAGTTTGGCCCAGCCTTACTAAACCAGCCCAGCGCTACATTGCATGCTTTGAGACACTGGCTCAACTCGCCTTGTTGCATGTTACGTCACGGGCGCATGGGTGGGGGGCCTTGCTTGGTTCGATCATATGAGCTGCTTTTGTCCAGGCTAAGAGCAGTGGTTTTGACACATTTCGCACATTGCTGGGGAGCTCAGTGGGCAGACGCTCTGGGGTGACAACCGCAGCTTGTTCGATACGGTGTCCCGGGAGCGGGAGTTTTGCCCGGAGTGGTGGTGCTTGTTGGAGTTGGGCCAGCCGCCACGGTGAGGCATTGGCAGCGAAGGTGTGTTGGCGACGGCTGACGCTGTTAAGCACGGGGCGAGCGTCTGCTTGCGTAGAATCTGCTGGCAGTTGTGATGAGCCCCTCTCACACTCCTGTCTGTGTGGTCCATCGCAACACTCGGCAACCTTGGCGCTTGTAGTGTTGTTTGCCCGCCCACCCGCCCCAATGGCCACATGAGCTGCTGGGGTCAGTGCCCACGCGCACTGGGCTGGGTGCCGGTGTACTGGCGGCAAAACGTGCGTCTACTTGCACAGGGTCTGCTGGGCAGTTGTGATGAGCGGTAAAAGTAAAAGCCCCACAGAAAGATGTGGGGAAAACCATGCAAAAATAAACTTTATGTGACCCTGCTGAGGAAGACAGGCCCACCTCCCTCAGCAGGGCGAACTGCTGAGAGTAGAAGGGCAAACCCAGTCAGCATTTGGCTCTGCAGCGTCATCGATAATGTTAGGCCTCTGTGCACCGCCATGCTATTTTCTGATATGAACATGTCTGCTCCGCCGTGCTGCATTAGTTCACTGAATGCCATTACCGCAGTTTCAACAGCCAGCGCGAAGATAGATCAAGGCTGCTTCACCGTCGAACGTATGTGTCACAGGGGGGTGAAGTCCGCCCACTTAGAGTTGAAGGCCTGTGCACCGTTGTGTGCCGCACTTCTCAATCTGCAGCGCCTGCGCAACCTATCAAAAGAGTGAATGAGGAGTGGCAAGGGCCACTACGTATCCATGTAGGAGCAGTGCTCGTAGCATCTATCGTGAAGGTGGTATTCCTGTGTCAAGTTGTACCTATTGCCATTGGAGAAGTGGCTAGAAACGTGACGACATTGCTCGCCCGTACATGTCTCTCACGTTTGGCAGTTCGATAGAGTCATTCGCGTGCACAATTTTTGCATGCCAAAAGGCATGGGGAAAACCAACGTATGCGCAGATTGGAGCTGCATTGCTCAACGGTGCTCGTTTAGAAATGAAAGAGCACCAGACCAAGTTTTTGCCTACCTCGTTGCATTTCGTTGGTGGTGAGTGTTTTTTCCCAGCAATGGTTGTGTTGTGGCATGTTCAATCGAATTTCAATCGAATTGGCAACTTGTCAATGGGGTTTGCTTCCCCACGTTTAGTTTGGAACTTCTAGATTGCGCTTGGCTTGCAAGCTTTGATGGACATGTATTCTCATGAGATCTGGAAAACGGCTGCATGTTGACGGTTTCTTCGGTGAGGCCCAAGACTGGGTTGCTCATCAACATGAAGGCAAACACCCTGAACACCCGATCCAACAAACAACTTAGCATGACATTGGGTTTGGATTTCTTGGAAACAATCAGAAGTTTTTGCAACGGTTTGCGAGTCAAGCCGTTGCGTCGAACGACCCCACTGTGAAGTCTTGCCATTTGATCAGAACAAACATTGGCGACGCCCCGGCTGGCGTCTCATGGCGCCTGCCACCAAGCTGAAGCTCCTCAGAGGCAACTGGCAACTGAAATCCCAGGCACCCAGAGCGGCCCAAGCCAAGAAGCTTGGGAGTCTCCGAACATTTAGCAACATGGCCGTGCGAAAAGTCCTGAATGTGTTGGTTGATGTTGGGAGAGGATCCCTTTTCAATGTCGAATGGGCATCGGCCGGAGGCTTGTAGCTTCGGTTTCAGAGCTGAGGGACTTTCTGGACACCGACTTGGTTGCCACCATCAAGCGGTATGATGAGTTATGGGAGGTGCAGGACACAGTCCGCGTATGTCGGATCGGTCCGCCAGTGCGAGGCTTGGCGCGGATTTGGTTGCTTGGCACCTCAGCTCGTGAACCGAAGATCATATTCGTTGGAAGGGGCTCTCAACAAAAGGGTGCCCACCAATCGAAATTGGTGCTGGAATTTCCATATACAACCGACAACACTGCCAGACAGTTCTTTTTCTTGGCAGGACTGGTCTGCAACACTTTGACGCATGTGTGAGGGCGGGGGTTGCATGTCCGAGTTCAGGCAAAACAAGAAGTGCAGCTAAAACGGGTCGCATTGAACATTTTAGCTGCAGCTAGGGGGCAAAGTAGGGGCTCGGGTCTTTCATGGAGTTTACTGCTCAGACCGGCAATGGCAGAACAAAGTGTGCGAAGTCACGGAAGACGAGCGGGAGGGTGGGTTGCACAAAACATTCATATCCCCATGCGCGCATGTCCTGTCATCGCATGACCAAAAGACACAGAACATTCCTCACGAAGCTTGGGTGTGAGGACCCAGAGGAGAACCCTTACAAAAGCAAGTACCTCGCCCGCGAGATCCTCGAGCTAGCTGCTGCTCGGCACGGAACCAAAGAGGCGTCAGGCAACGGACCATGGGCTGCTCCAGCCGCGGGGTGCTCGGGGGGTAAGACTGCTTTTGTGAAACGGTGGGACTCTTAAAACACTCGTTTGCCGGTTGCGATCGTCTCTGAAGTGGAGAGATCTGCCTCATTCAAGTCCGGATGTGCAGGGCTTCTTAGTTGTTACACATAGCTGTGTTGCCACACTCCCCTTTGCCAAGGATTGGGGTTGCCCCAAAAGTGGGGGTGGCTTTCCTTTTGGTTTCCCTCGGCGAGAAAGCTTGTGGGAACGCCGCCTGGATCCGCTGGGTGTACCCCGGACAAATTCCTGACCGATAGAATCACTCAGCCTAGAGTGCCTTGACTAGCTGTTAGAAGAAGGAGAAATAAAGGAAGCGACCCAATCTCAGTTGTTCTTGGAGGACTACATCTCTACCATTGACTCGGAAGGGGTCCTGGGCTTCATTGGAAGAAAACCAGCGCTCGCTTCTGAGGTAAAGCAGCTGGAGGCCTTGCTGGCTGACGAGGAGGACTCCTCTAGCCTCCAGGGCAAGGAGGTGCTGGCCAGGTGGGTTGGGCAGGGGTTGTGGACGTGTCTGGTTGTGGACATGCATGTTGTTGCATCTGCTAGACGGAGCTGTTTGTGAGCAACATGCAATGGGTGAATCTCAGAAGCTGTTGTATGGGTATTCGAGCTGTGCACAATAGCCAACCTTACCCTGAAGCATGACCTGTTGAGGAAGGCTGATTGCCCAGATATTGCTGATTTTTCAGTGAAATATCGGGTCCGGCCCCGTTTTGGGCGAACAGTCTTTTACCAAAGTGTCCGTAAACAACACTTCGCATTTTTTGACTCTCAGTCCAAGTTTCGCTCGTTAGATCTTTCCTTTAGCATAATCATGAGCATGAGAAATGAGAATACAAAGATGCACGACGACTTGTAATGATGCGCAAAGATGATAACAATCAATGCCAATGACCATATACTTAGTGATCCTACTCTTGGACAATCTGGCATTCTGGCAGCGTGTTGGCTCTGTTGTCGCGAACAGGTGTCTCAAGCAGACATCGGCCCCTGTTGGAGGTTGTTCCTCTTCCTGGGCAAGAACTTGTACTACTGCGAGGAGGCCGGGGTCGCATGGGAAGCCCTGGGCTGTCTGCAAATATGGGGCTCTCGTTGTAGAGCTCATTTGGCGATGGTTGGTGAATTGCGGTGCAGGCTCAAGGTGGATTGCCGGCATTTTGCCTGCACTTCGTCAAGCCGCAACTTGTTTGTTGTTTTCGTTTGTCAAGCCTTGTTCTGGGGAGTGTGGGGTCGAAGTTTGCGTGCCGAGTCTCTCTGCGAGCGTTACCCTGTTGGCTGCCAGCAGGGAGATGGGAAGGACCAGCAACAAAACGCATATGCCGCATGCGGCCCCCGCATGGAATTCGGTTTTGTTTGCTTCCATTTTCATCCCAACTCCCTGCCACGTTCTTTCCGTACCCGTTGTCCAAGTTGAGTTCTCAGGGTGGCACCTCTTATCAAGACTGGCGGGTTTTGCTGGGCCGGTTGGCCATGTTGACCAAGCACCTTTTGCAGAATCTTTCACCATGGGCTCGCATTCAAGGGTGCATCAAATTGACAACTTGTCATCGTTTGAGGCAGAAAAGGTCGATATATCCTCTCACTTCCTGAGTTCATGAGCTTTAAACTTTTGGAGAAGACCATTTTAGTGGTAAATATAAGGTTTGGACTTTTTTTGGGCCATCCACTCAGCCAGTGAGTCCTGGTTTCCTCTTCGTGCTCGTTGTATTGCCTCTTCATCTTTGGGAGAATGGCTGATGTGCATGGCAAGTGATCCGGACATTGAGCTTTTCTATGGTATGTCTGGAGATTAAAGTACACTTGTTGTTAACTTGCCATACTTCGAGTCAACATCTCGAAGCACCCATGTTGTGAAACAAACCGCGGCCTTTCAGGTGTCTTTTTTTTCTCCTTATTATCCTTTTGCGCAGAACCGGCCACCCGAGCGTTTTCGCTCGGTTTCGGCAGTGTGAGAATGTGCGAGACATGCGCGAGGTGCCTGGGGCGGAGAAGTACTTTATCCGGGCACTGGAGAGATACCTCCGGTCCCCGTTGCGGGCTGAGCCGGAGCCCTTCTGCTACATCCAGGACCCCCTTTTGCTTTAGTCTGAACATTTGCCAGCCTATAACCTTCCAGCTTGACGCAGTCTATGGCTTGACTCCGGATCCATTTGCTCCCATTTTGTTGTTCTGGAGCCCCTTGACCCGGCACGGCCCATGCTAGAATGAGCCATGCCTCGGTCTTTTCTCCATGTCTTGCTTATGGGCCCACCGAATGCAGCGACTAGTGCGACGTCCTGCCGCTTTGTTTCTGAACATTTTGAAGACATGTGGTGCCTTCTGCAGCTAAGTGTTCTCTGTCCAGCGATTCTTCATCATGGACACATCGGGCTGAATTCAATTTAGCTTAGGACACCGCTTTCTCCGAGAAGGTTTCGAGCTGTGCTTGGCACTGAATGGCTGTGGTGTTATGGGTCACGGCAAGCCGCTTGCTGAGGTTTAAAGTCTGAAGAACAAAAGCTGGAAGCCCAGATTAGTAAGCCCATTCCTCTACGGGGGTGTCACGATTGGCTGGTGATGCCGAGGGCGGCTCATTCCACCACTGTTCCAATTTGAGTCACATCATCACTTCTGAGTAGCTGGCGTCACATAATGCGTGTCACACTCTAAGGCCCAGTTTCTTACAATGCCTGTCACCGGGTAAAAGACGTCCTCAAGATCAACGGGCGGTTTAAGGTTGTTTCCCACTCCGGGGACGTAATTTTGAGAACCCCTCGACATGTAAACCCCTCGACATGTAGGACCCAGTGCCGCCACAAAAGGTGCGTTTTGTGGTGCCCTTCTGTAGGATGTCTTCAACCAGCTGGGCATGCTTTGGTGCAACCGCGGGGGCCACAAGGTCTGGGCCCAAGCGACCAAGCACTCGGTTTGCCCATTGCTTTCTATCGCTCCCTAGCCAATATCCGGCGCTCGTCAAGCCAAGGAGGCATCAACCACAGAACGCATGTACATATGCATATACGTATACCTGTAGACATACACATCTACACACCGACATCAGCTGATCTCATGGTTGTTCAACTTCCTTTCTCGAGTTCCGCCGGAATACAAATCATTTTGCTGCTTGCGCTTGTTTGTTTGCTTGCTTACTTAGTCAGTTGGTTTGTTTGTTTGGTTTGTTTGTTTGCTTGCTTGCTTGCCTGCCTATTTGTTTGCTTGTTTGTTTGTTTGTTTGCTTGCTTGCTTGTTTGTTTGTTTGCTTGTTTGTTTGTTTGTTTGTTTGTTTGTTGGTTTGTTTGGGTTCGTTCGTTCGCTCGTTCGTTCCTTCGTTCTTTTGCTTGCTTCTTTGTTTGATTGTTTTGTTTTTGTTTGTTTGTTTGTGCTAGTACTAGTTTTTGTTCGTTGGTTGGCGGTGATTGGGTCCCTTTGGTCTTCTTTTGATTGCTGTAGTTTGCCTGTTTGCACCGCTTGCACCGCTTGCACTGCTTGCACTGCTTGCACTGCTTGCACTGCTTGCTTGTTTGCTGGCTTGCTGGCTTGCTTGCTTTCTTGTTTGCTTGCCTGCCTGCCTGCCTGCTTGCTTGCTTGCTTGCTTGCTTTCTTGCTTGCTTGCTTGCTTGCTTGCTTGCTTGCTTGCTTGCTTGCTTGCTTGCTTGCTTGCTTATTGGTTTGTTTGTTTGGTTTGTTTGCTTGCTTGCTTGCTTGTTTGTTTGTTTGCTTGCTTGCTTGTTTGTTTGTTTGTTTTCTTGTTTTTTGTTTGTTTGTTTGTTGGTTTGTTTGGGTTCGTTCGTTCGTTCGTTCGCTCGTTCGTTCGTTCCTTCGTTCTTTTGCTTGCTTCTTTGTTTGTTTTGTTTTTGTTTGTTTGTTTGTGCTAGTACTAGTTTTTGTTCGTTGGTTGGCGGTGATTGGGTCCCTTTGGTCTTCTTTGTATTGCTGTAATTTTCCTGCTTGCACTGCTTGCACTGCTTGCACTGCTTGCACTGCTTGCACTGCTTGCACTGCTTGCACTGCTTGCACTGCTTGCACTGCTTGCACTGCTTGCACTGCTTGCACTTCTTGCACTGCTTGCACTGCTTGCACTGCTTGCACTGCTTGCACTGCTTGCTTGCTTGCTTGCTTGCTTGCTTTCTTGTTTGCTTGCTTGCTTGCTTGCTTGCTTACAAAGTTAGTTGGTTTGTTTGTTTGGTTTGTTTGCTTGATTGCTTGTTTGTTTGTTTGTTTGTTTGTTTGTTTGTTTGGTTTGCTTGCTTGCTTGCTTGCTTGCTTGCTTGCTTGCTTGCTTGTTTCTGTCCGTCCATCCTTCAGTCTGTCTATCTGCCAGTGGAGTTTGCCTGTTTGGTTTCCAATGCTCATTTGTTTACACCAAAAGGGACCAAAAGCAGAAAGGACGCCCTCAAACTCCAAACGCATCCAGTTGTTTGCAAATATGAAGGCATTTTGTTCAGGCATTCTGCGCTGGTCTTGGCCTGACCCGAATTCACAGCTGCAAGCCCAACTCACCCCATTCCGCTGAAAGCGGACCTGCCAGACTCAGCAGGGCTTCAAACAGCGGGAATGACGAGTGACAGGGTTGTGGGAAACACGGGGGTTTAGGAACACTTTCTGTGGTTTTTGGAGGTTCCGAGATGGCAACGGGATATCGCATGCTCCACGGCCGTGGCCCCCTTCCATTTCCATGCGCGCGCATCCATCTAAAAGGGGGTTCGTCTCATCAAAATCGGGAAATGCCTTGAAGGAGTGGCACGTTTCTTCATTTGGCCATGGCTTTCAATGGAGAAAGCCTGCCAAATGGTTGGTGGACAGTAATCCCCATGCAAATGATGTCCACCCAAAGGTCCCCACAAAGTTTGTCATTTTTGAAGGACCGCGAAGAGACCTGGGAGGTTGTCCGGGATGGTCAGCAAGATGAAATCAACTATGCCCTCTTTGTTTCGTGTCGCTGAGGAGGGCATGAACTTCCTGCGCAGGGCGCAGGTCATGTACCAGAAGAGACCCCAGGCGGTCAGAGACCAGTGCGAGGATCGCTGCGAGAACAACTACACCATGACCATGCGCCTCGGAGCGCATCAAACCCGCGCGCGTCGCATGGGAGTGGGAGGCTTGGCGCAGGTGCGTATTTGAGGAGTGGGAGGCTGGTAGAATGTCCATGTGTCCATGATTTTGCAAAACAGGGAAACTTGAGGAGTGTGCGGGGGAGGGCATTGGGTGGTTTGTCAAAAAAGGGGGCTGTGTTTTGGTTTACGGTCGGCCTAGGGTTTGCTTGAGAAATCTGGAAGATTGATTTGGGATGCGTTTTGGGGGGGCAGGCCGTTCCCTGTGGAGTGGTTTTCGGGCTTGCTTGCGTTTGGTTTGGGTGGCGTGCTTGCTTATGAAAGGAAGTTTAGAAGGAACTGACGTACGGACACTAATTGAAAGCTAGCTCTCAGACAAAAGGCAACAGAAGAATAAGCACGCGTGAAAAAATGCGGGAGCGGGTGGCAGGGAATGGACGTATCCGAAAAGTGCGGAGCGAAGCCCGCGACACAGCGGTCCGGGGTACCCAAAGGGGGGGGGGTAGGAGGGCGGAGGAAGGGATCACACATATATTGCATATAAATATATATGTATATATATATATATATATGTATATATATCGCGCCGACTTTGGTCTCCAAAACGCGGAGCATAAGCATATTGTTTGCGGTCTGGTGGGGACTTCTTTGGGTTGTTACTCATAGGGCAGAGAACATGAGCGGAAGATATGAAGCATTCCCCACACTGGGACTGAAGGACTGAAGTGAAGCAAGCATCAGTTGTTCGGAAAGCTCCACCAGCTGCTGGCACAATTTGGCGTTTGAGTGACCTGATAGAAACATGGAGAGCGCGAGCCAACGCTTTGCGCGGCAGGGGAGGACGCATTTGGCAGGGGAGGCCACGTGCAAGCCTCCTGATGGATGTTAAGGCATGCGTCCGTTAGAGGGACCTCTTCGCTTCCACCCAACGCCCTCCACACCCCCTCCCCCCCCACGGCCAGCGCGCTCCCAGGTTCTTCCTGGCACAGGCCTATGGTGCCTTGCAGAAGCCCCACCTCTCCGCGCGCTTTTGCGCAGAGACCATGAGCCGACAGCTGGAGGCAGGCGGAGAGCGAGTGTCCGGAAGTGAACTGCGAGTCCTTTTCTTTTGGCGATTTGTTCTAAACACAGTCGATAGATGGCACGCGGGTCAAACGCGGGCTCAGTTCCCATAGTGATTTCACAGGGCTTCACTCTGTGAATCCCACCCGCGCTCCTTAGCCAGAATGTTGACAAGGCTTCTACTTGAATCCTTCTGGGCGTGAGTCCTGCCAAAGATTGATTCGACTGCTAGAGCTATCCTCTTTGGATTTGTGACTTGAGATCCGCAGTGGGATGCCACCAAGGCTAAAGGGATCGGACTTGCGAGAAACCTCAGACATATCGGAGAAAGGACAACTTCCCTGTACCGAGGCAGCAACTTTCTACGGGGGCAAAAGGGGAGAGAGTCTTCTTAAGAAGGGATCTCAACCGATCTCGCTTGCAAATGGAAAGGCTTCATGACCCTAAACCCTAAACCCTACTGCCAGCCCAACCGCTTTGGTAGGGTCCCCCTTGTGCCGTTCTGCCTTTCCGAAGCCGCGAGTCCAACACCTCGGGCCGCAGCGCGGAGATCCGCGAGCGGGACCCCTTCGATCCCAAAGAGTGGATCAGGCGACGAGATTCGATTCGATTTGGAGGCGATTTGGAGGGTGATGTTGTTGTGGGCTGTTTTGTTTTCTTGTGTAGCTTGCAGGCCAGCGTTATATTGTGATGTTCACTGTTCGTTGTGTGGTTGTGTTGGCAGGGATTCTAGACCTGCAACAGTATCTATTGAGACTTGGAAGGTTTCACAGGGCTTAAACCAAGTCCAAGTAGAAGTTGCATTGCTGTGAGAATATCGCAATTTGTTGCTCTCCAGACATATTCAGAAGAGCTCCGGGAAAGGATCAAATCTTACAAAAGCTGACCATCCAGCCGGTTTGGCCACCCCAGCAGCTTGCGCTGCACTAGCAAGACCTTTTGGAACAGCCAGGGCCCAGGGCTATGCTGAGTTTTTCAATGCCATTCCAGAGGCTTGAGCTTTGTATACTTTTCCAGCTCCGTTTTCGGTGTGTGGTTTGCACAGCTGGGTTCTTCAGAGTGAGACTCGCAAAGCTACCCGTGGTCGGCCTGAAAGCTACACGTAGCTTTGCAGCACGTCGCGTTTTTTGGGATCGAAACAGAGTGTTGTTTTTGGTGCATGAACATAGGTGCTCTTTTTTTAGGCCACTGGTTGAACATAGATGGCACTAGTTATAGTTTGGTTCCAATCATGCACCAGTGCCATCTATTCCAAAAGGACACCAGTGTCCATGGGGGACTTGCGGGTGCATCGAGTCTCGCGCTTTCTGTTTTGATAGGGGCCGTTGGTGCAGGAACTGCTGTGCGCTCTCGGACTTCTTTGTGAATGAGGGCATGTTCTGGACGGCGGCCGCTGGGACTCAAAGGTGATGCGGAAACAAGGGAGTCCACAAGTGCAGATTCCCCGAAAGAAATACATGTGTGCTTGGTCGGATGCTCCCCTGCAGTCGTCTCCAGTTGCTTTCCGTTTCCTCTCGCGAGGTTGAGGTCCATCAAATTTCATCAACACGACGAGAAGGGGCTCTTGCATGCCCAAAAGGTACTGCAAGATGTTCCCTTTTGGGGACCTCGTTGGAGCGATTCCGCGAGGAGTACTGCCTCCACTCGGGCCTGGTGCTGTGCGAGCGGTGCCAGGAGATCGCCGGGGTGGAGCCCGAGAACATCTCGGAGCTGCGGAACGAGTGCCTGCGGGACGTTGCCATCATGCAGGGGTCCCCAGGGTAAGGAGATGATGGGGAAGGGGGTTGGATGGTTTGGATGGTTGGGGGCTGGGTGTGTTGGGGCTTGAGGCGTTGGTTTTGTTTACGCCCAACTTGGCGTGGATGGATGGGGGGGTATAGGGGGCAAGGGAATGGACACGACTTGGGTCAAGGTTTGCTTCGTCGGGAGGAGAGGACGGGAAGCTGGGGGATAGGATCTGGTCTTTTGGGCTTTAGAGAAACCTGTGGCAGATGAACTCAGTCGGAGATTGGATTCGGCCGCATTTTCCAGAAAAACTGGGAGGTTCGGCAGACGCCGGAGCCTTTCCCCCTCATTGGCACCAGCAAATAGAGCAGGTCCCCGGAACTCCTTTTGGCAGCTGAAGGGGGGTCACTTCGATCTTTCCCTTGTTCAATAGAGATGACAGAGAGGGCCAGTTGTTGCGTGTGAGAGAACTAGACGTCAACAGTTTTGCGCTGCTCTGTTAGAGTTGAAGAATGATCTATCTACGGAAGAATCCACTCGTGAGGCTCAGTGGGCATGATTCGATTGTCCACGTTAAAAGTTTTCAACCTTTCTTCGCTATCAGTGTCCATGAGCAATCTGCACATTCAAGTACTTCTCACAAGAAAGGGGTCATCCTGGGAGTTGCGCTGAAAGACGAGCGTCCCAGCTTTTGGGTGACCTCTCGGCACGGACTGGCAATTGGAAAGGCCCCTTTCTTCAAGCCAGAAAACCCAGGCCAGAAGTTGAGCACAGGCACTTTTTTGGGTATCCCCCTTGAAACGGCCCTGGATTTCACCACTCCCCAGACGGGCGACCGAGTCTCTCCGCTCGTTAGGTACGCCGCGCGCCTGAAGTTCGCCAAGGCGGTCACCGAGGATCCGCAGGCCTGGCAGGAGGCCTGAGGGTCTGGGTCGGGGATGGGGGGGGGTTCGGAGGTGTTGCATGCCCAAATTGAAGCAGAACAGAAGAGGTTTTGTCCCATGCACAGAACATAAAGAGGCTCTTTGGTTAGGGGGGTTGTGGGAAATTGGGGGGGTTGCGGGGGGATTCGGGGGTTGCGGGGGTTGGGAAATACCGACTTGTGAGGCTCGGTCAACTGCACCAGTCCAAACACTAGAAGTAAGCACGCTGAGGTCCAAATGATAGTCAAGCTGGTTAGAACATCGTATTTAAAGCGGATCTGCACAGTGTCAAAATCGGTTTGTTTGGGCGCAGCCAAGATGGCTTGATTCAGTTGCGTGGCAGGGCAAGTTGCCTCAGCTTGTGGATGTGCCCACGCGGCTAAAGTACTCGACCTTAGTTTAGCCTAATTTCATACATGTTGTCGTTGTTTCTTTGCTTTATATATTTTTATTTGATTAAGAACAAACAACCAGGGGACTCTCTAGTCTTTCCATATGCAGTGGGTAGCGACCGCCGCTCGTGTATCTTTGAGAGTATCCTCCGAGGTTGCTCATTTTGATTGTATATCCAGTCATTCGAACCATCACGCGCGTGGATTTGACTTGCGAGTTGCGTTTGTGGGTAGACTCCTCTAGTGCCATGGCACGAGAGATAACGGTGCGATGTGCACCGTCTGGGAAGGAGGAATCATTCGAAGTGGAAACAAACATAACTGTCGGTGAGTTCAAGAAGCAGCTGCACGGGTGGCTGCCCTGTGGAGATGAATCACAGCGCCCCATAAGCTCTGTGGAGGTGGTTGTTGGAGACAGACTCTTGTTGAACAACAAGGAGTTGTTGTTGGAGGCTATTCCAGATGCGGAAGTTCTGGCTTTCCTCCGAATCAAGGCGGTAAAGTGAGGTTCTCAACATCTGGCTGCACAGCGGATGATCTGCCCGCAGTGGAAATTCCAGAGGGCGTGACTGTGATTGAGGCTCATGCTTTCCAAGGCTGCGGCTCATTGGCAAATGTAATCATTCCTGATTCTGTCACTGAGATTGGAGATTCTGCATTCAAAGGCTGCAGCTCACTGGCGATCGTGACCATCCCCGACTCTGTCACCAGGATCCGGGATTATGCCTTCTGCGAATGCAGGTCATTGGCAACAATGACCATCCCCAATTCTGTCACTGAGATTGGACATTATGCTTTCAAAGACTGCAGCTCGTTGGCAACCATGATCATGCCCAACTCAGTCACCAGGATCAACAATAATGCTTTCGAAGGATGCAGATTATTGGCAACCGTGACCATCCCCTACTCTGTGAACAGGATTGGCAATGCTGCCTTTTCAAACTGCAGCTCACTGGCAAATGTGACCATCCCCAATTCTGTCACACAGATTGGAGATTATGCTTTCAAAGGCTGCAGCTCATTGGCAGCAGTGACCATGCCTGACTCCGTCACCAGGATCCAGAAATTTACCTTCTCCGAATGCACCTCATTGGCAACAATGACCATCCCCAATTCTGTCACTGACATTGGAGTTTCCGCTTTCAAAGGCTGCAGCTCATTGGCAACCATGACCATCCCCGACTCGGTCACTAGGATCAACAATTATGCTTTCGAAGGCTGCAGCTTTTTGGCAGCTGTGAGAATCTCCCATTCTGTTTTTTTGCTTGAAAAAGGTTCCTTCAAAGGTTGCAGCTTGCTGGCAGACGTGACGATCCCCAATTCTGTCAAGGTGGTTGAGTTTGGTGCCTTCCAATGTTGCAGCTCATTGACAACTGTGACCATCCCTGACTCTGTCACCGGGATCGGGAATGCTGCTTTCTCAAACTGCAGCTCATTGGCAACTGTGACCATCCCCAATTCTGTCACTGAGATTGCAGAGAGTGCCTTCCACCGTTGCAGTTCCTTGGAAACTGTGACCATCCCCGACTCTGTCACCAGGATCGGGGACTATGCCTTCTCCAAATGCAGCTCATTGGCAACCGTGACCATCCCCCACTCTGTCACTGAAATTGGAGATTATGCTTTCAAAGGCTGCAGCTCATTGGCAATCATGACCATCCCCAACTCTGTTACAAGGATCCAGTATTATGCCTTCTGCGAATGCAGCTCATTGGCAACCATGACCATCCCCAATTCTGTCACTGAAATTGGAGATTATGCTTTCAAAGGCTGCAGCTCATTGGCAATCATGACCATCCCCAATGCTGTCACTGAAATTGGAGAGGGTGCCTTCCAAGATTGCAGCTCATTGGCAACCGTGACCATCCCCGACTCGGTCACCAGGATCAACAACTATGCCTTCAAAGGTTGCAGCTCATTGACAGACATAACCATCTCGAATTCTATCACGGTCATTGGAGAGAGTGCCTTTCAAGGTTGCAGCTCATTGGCAATCGGGACCATCCCCGACTCTGTCACCTGGATCGGATGTAGTGCCTTCAAAGGCTGCAGGTGATTGCAGGCGACAGTACGGTGCCATCGGCGCTCGCATTGAACAGCCTTCTGTTGCTGTGAAGAAGAGACATAAAGTCTGCCGCAGTTTCGCTCGTGGGAGCGAGCAAGCATCGGAGCAGTGGTTTTGTGGTGGGATGAGGGATGGTCAGGGATAGTCAGCTTCAGACATTGTCAAGGGAGCGTTTGTCCCAGCTGGAGCACGCTTTTGGAGCAAAAGAACCGCCGGGACATGGGTGTGAGCGAAAGTTCAATCTTCGGCGTCAGGCCGCACTCACCAAGATTGCCGGGAGCAAACGTGTTTACTCCCCGAATTCCCATGTCCGGACGTCTGACTTTGTGGCTTAGGACGCTGGACGCCCAGGAATTAGGGAGACCCCGTGTAACTGCAGGTTCCCAAGTTGACAAGACGACTAAGTAAGCAGCCAGTCTTTTCCCTTAAGCACTGTTTGGAAAGATGTGGGACTTTGCGTGGAACCTCAGCCAAATCCCCCGCCCCCCCCGGCCGACAAAGCGCAAGTCTTCCAGTCCAGTTGATACCTATAATATAGCAGGGCATCCACCAGTTCCGGTGCAGTTCTGCGGTCAGCTTGCAAACAACCCTCGATGCACATGTCACACACACACACACACATACACACGACTTCGGCACAATTATGCTGTTGTGGTGTCATTGAATTGACCACACTGCAATATACAAGTGTCTCAATAAGGGATACTTCCGCGTTCTAACGAGCCCAAAAGGGCACAGCCCATTTGCGAGATGCTGTTTGCCCAAGTTGGCTGAATCACCTGTCCCCCGATGCATTGGTGGTTGGCGCACAAAACTTTTCTTTTTGTTCCAGAGCTGATTTGTCTCTTTAGGATCAAACTTTGGCGAGACTTGGTCGCTTCGATTCGGGGCTTCGGAAAATCCATCAAGGGTGGCTTTTGGGAGAGCCTTTAAAGATTTGGCAGGAGCAGCGCGGACCACAACTTGCGCCGTTTTGTTGATCGCTGGACCAGCTTCGCTGTAGACAAATATTGCTCCGCCCCCTGTGGGGCATGGAGTAGAGACCAGAAATAGAATCAGAGGCATGGTGCTCAAGAGCCCATGTCCAATTTCCTCAAAAGGAAGCCAAAAAGAAACTCTTCCGACCCCCCAGTTAACACCACACTGTCTTTCTCATGGAAAGAGTTCGGAACAAAGTTTCCTCAACCAAAAGTTCGGCCGAAAGGAGGTATGTCCACGTGGGTGTGTCTGAAATTAGGGGACCCCCAAAAGGGTGGTATTTGCTTAGTTTCCCTTCAAAACCAAGCAAAAAGAGGGTCCCCCAAGAAAAAGACACCCCCACAGTCCCCCACGTGTTGTTTTTCGATTTGACACCCAGAAGCCCTCACGAGGGAAATCCGCCGCAGGCCTGGTGTGGGGAGCGCAGCCCGGCTGCTGAGGAGGTGTCGCATGAGGCGCCGCTCGGAGAGGTCTGGAAAACCCGGGAACGCGCTGGAGGGCCTAAATCGTTCGGAAAGGGGGCTACACCACCAAACTCAATGTGTGCGTGTGCGTGTTCTTTTGGGGGCTCGGTGCCCTTTTGGGGTTGGTTTTAGAGGGCGACCAAACGGGAAACCAACCATCCAGCTGGTTCCCCAAACAAATGAATGATTCGGAAAAAATGTGTGTTTGTGTATGGGTGTGTGACTGTTGGAGTGAGCTGGGTCAGTTTGGAGTTTGGTAGCAGCTCATATCTTCGCCCTTGTCCAAAAGATGATAGAGGTTCAATCCTAGGTGTAGGGCTGAATGTTGACCACGGAAGGCTCAAGAGGTCGCCAAAGAGGGGAACCGCGAAGAGGATATGTCCGTTCTGGGGCTTCCTTCGTGGACGAAGTGGGGAGGGATTTTACTCATATGGATGTACGGACAGGGTGGTGAGGTGAGATTTCCGCTTGCGGTGTTTGAACAGGCTGCACGGGGCCACACGTTTGCCCCCCTGGTTGCACCCCTTGGCTTCAAGACAAAGGCTTCAACGGTGGCGTGCTCAAGAGGGTCGGGTCGGGTAGCCCATCAGCCCCCGGGGTCTTGGGATGCACGTGTGGAACACGTGTGCAACTGGGTGAAGGTGGATGGCTCATTTGTTCCATTCTGGTTTAGTGCCGCCCTTTACGTTCAAGCATGAACGAAACTGTGCGTAGCATCCAGTAAGAACCCGGAGGAATCAACCTCAAGGATGAAGCCCTCGCTTCCTTTGAACATGAAGCCGGGTTTGACTTCTTGGTTTCCTTTTTCCATTGAGTTCCCATCAAAATCCATTTTGACCCTAACTCAAAGAGCGTTGCGGCCAGGTTTGTCTTGAAGGCCACAGATGGTTTGCCTCGAGGGCCCAGACTTTGCATTTTTCCCATGGCAGGGCTCTACGTTGAGCTTCCGGGTGGCGGCGGACCGCACGGAGCGGCCGCCGGAGGGGGGCACTGGGCCCATCCTGTGGGACGAGATCTTTCCGGAGGCACCGTGGGGGGTGGGGGGCGGGGGTTTGCGATTTTTGGGGAGGAGTTCTTTTCCTTTCTAAAAAAAACGCGGATTTGGTTGCCAAGGGAAAAAAAACACCCAAAGGGCAGGATCAAGTCAGCAATTCTTGTTTGGGGGGGGGGTTGGTCTGATTTGTCAAAAGCAACGTGACAAGGCGGTTTCGGGCTGCACTGGCTGCAGTGCAGGTGGTTCACCCCGAGGACAGCGAGGCGCAGGACAACCGCCTGGCAGAGGAGCACCAGGCTCCTCTCGGACATGGCTGGCTTGTGCGATATGGGAATGAACCCATTTTTATTTATTTACTTATTTATCAAGGGATGGCTAGGAAGGCTTATTCCCTCATTCCCTGCTGAGAACCAGCAAGAGGAGGGACCACAAAAACCAAGGGACTCATTTTTTCACATGTGCAGTAGGGTAGCAGCAAATTCTGACAGGGGCTCCTGTGTCTTTGAGGGTATCCTTCCGTTGTTGCTCATTTTTTCTTTTATGTTGTTTTTTTGGAGGGGGGTTCCCCTAATTTTGTTTGTGTTGCCTTTGGTCATTCGAAACATCATGCGTGTGGATTTGATGTGCGAGTTGCGTTTGTGGGGAGACTCCTTTAGTGCCGCGGTAAGAGACGCACCGTGTGGGAAGGAGGAGTCATTCAAAGTGGAAACAAACATAACTGTCTGGTGAGTTCAAGAGGCAGCTGCACGGGTGGCTGCCCTACGGAGATGAATCACAGCGCCCCATAAGCTCTGTGGAGGTGGTTGTTGGAGACAGACTCTTGTTGAACAACAAGTAGATGTTGTTGAAGGCTATTCCAGGTGCGGAAGTTCCGGCTTTCCTCAGCATCAAGGCGGTAAAGTGTTCAAGGTTCTCAACATCCGGCTGCAAATTGGATATTCCCCCCATTCTCCTAACTCTTGATGAGCAACAGAGAAGCGTGAATAGGTCCAGATCGTCTCTATCATTGCATTCCTTGGGATTTAATATCCACTGCAAACAACCTTAGGTGAGTAAATGCAAGTCGGTTGTCAATCAATGCATTTCCCTTCATCAAGTCCTTTGTAATTGTTTTCAGGTTATCTTTTACTAGTCCATTATCATCTTATTTCATCACTGATTTTGTACTTATTACTGCATTTATTGGAATTCTCTTTATCTTAGTACTCAGTTATCCATTACTCTATCTTCATCAATAATTATTTTATTCTTCTAAACATGCTTTATCCAATAGAAATAGACCTTAGTGTGAGAGCTCCGATTGAGACCCAATCGTGAGATGAGCTCTTTGAGTCGATGCAGATGGATGCCCATCAGGAATTCAGGGAGGGACCTTCTGTAACCGCATTTTCGCAACTTGCAAGACGGCTAAGTAAGCAAGCAGGGCAAGAATGGGCAGGCCTGTTTCTGCCCATGGCTCCTGTTCGCAAAGATTGGGGACTTCGCGTGGAACCTCAGCAGCAAGTATGGCCCAAAATCCCCCCCCCCCCCCCCCAGGTCCACGACTCTGTTGCCTCAAGCAACTCAGCATGAAGTCTGTTAAGCACCTCTAGCACATTTGACCCTCGATTTTAGTGGCAACCCGCTCGAGTTGATCGTTGCAAGCAAGAATATATCAGGGCATCCACCAGTTCCCTTGCAGTTTCATCAGTCGATTCGCAAACATCAAAAAGTCCTCTTGCCCCTTTCGCCTCGTAACTAAGGAGAACCGGATGCCCTGAAAAGCAAGTGAAATCCGCTTCGACGTGGGGGGTGGGGGGGGGGGGGAAGCCGCGAGACACCCATCCCGAGCTGGAGCTGGCCCTTCTGCGACACTCCGAGCGGAGCCTCCGTGACTGGCGGCGGCCAATGCAATGCACGCGCCTGGAGTCCATGCGGCGTATCCCTTGCGGGTAAGCAACAGCTAACCGTGGGAAGGCGGGTGTGGGCTTCTCGCGCTTGCGAGCTTGCAGGCTCCGGAGGTGGAGGAGGAGAAGGAGAGGGGCCGTGGCCGATGGGTTGAGCTGACGGACTATGGTTGGGATATTCATGGGTGCCATATCATGTAAGGACTTTGTTTTGGGGGAGGTTGGGAAGTTGGAGCAATCGGTTCCTGGCAAGGATCAGTGCTTGCGCTGAGGATCCTTGGTTTCAAACGGTGACAGCTGGCTGGGGTCGAATTCTTGATTGGCTGGCTGAATACGAAGAGAAAATCTCTGCCTCATCTCGAATTCTGGATTATTGGCGAGATGGAACGAAGCACAAGACAAGAAATAGATGGCATCGGTCTTCTACCTCTGTCACCTCAAGAATCCATCCTCATTCACACCCAACATAAGAATCTGGAAAACCATCCAACATGCTAGGTAAGAAGATATGGTGATAAGATAAGCACATCATAATGAGTCCAAGTTTTTACTGCAAACTCTACAATGTACACCATTATGATTGGCATTATCTTCATGACTTGCAAGAATTCACATTTATTGTTTGGACTAAAACTCTTGGAAATGGATGGATGCGGCCTTATGCTATTGCTTTCTTGTAAGTCATTTCCAAGAACATGTCTAGATTCATGAGATGGCTTTTTGCCTATGCCTCTCGCCTGCTTCACTCACAATCCAAACCTATGATTTGCATCTTGACATCACAGCTGTCGCTGCTAGGGAAGAACGCGAAACCGACAGAGGCGTTTTGTGAAGGCAAAGTGGAGGTGCTTATCGAGGGCTGCTTTCATGACCTCCGAAGGGTGCTCCATCGATATCAAGGACAAAGCACTGGTTGACGTTGTTGGACGGACAACAAGGGCATAGCTGTCAAACAGTTTGCGGTTCTCAGGGTCTCACTACAACTCTTTGAATCGTTGTGGGTCAACCCTTTCAGCATGTTCCCAGAAAATCATGGATTCGACTGGAATCTGCCGAAAGGACGTTGACACAGTCCACAGGGAGCAAGCTTTTGCTCTCAAAAAATCTCGGCGCATACTTTCCTCGGGAAGCCCTCCTTAAGGCATGGTGCCTCCTTGCAGGGAGTCCGTCAGCGGCATGTTCTTGGGGTAAATGTGGGCACGAACTTGGGAACACCAATCCGAATGCTGGACATGGGTTTTCTTCACTTTTCATGTCCAGAGGGTTCCCAACATCGCACCCAGTCTGCCCTTACTGGTCGCTTCAGCTAGGCTCCGGGCGTAGTCTGAACCACAGGTCAATGGCCTTTATCAAGTATGTCCCATCAATTTTTGAGATATGGAGGTCTTGTATCACTTGGTGGGAATCTGTACATGTTCATGCAGTCTCCCATGAGGGGAGGGGGGGCTTTTACACTACATACCAGCTCTGGACCAATCCGCGAGGACCATTGGTTGGTGCTGGGGCCAAAGGACAGGACGTTGCTGCCGGTCCACTTCAGGCCCGTCCGGGATGGTTGCTGGGTCCCTTTAAGACCTTTGGGGGCAGAGGGTCACTTCGAGGAGATTGGAATCGTCTCTTTTTCTCTTTCGATATGATGGAACGATCGGAAGGCGAAAGGTAGGTTACCCGTATGTGGGAATGCCCTAAAGAACTTGGGAACCTTATTAGTGTTACCTGTATGCAATTAGAAGCTCAAAGGAAACCAGCCACGCGGCTCCTGAGATCGTGGCTAGCTTGGGGGTGGAAACCGACGATCTGAATGAGCCTCCGGTCATCTGGAATCTGGAGCTCCGACCATATGGCAATCAACCGGGACTTCACACAGGCTTGCTCTCAAAGCACCAACAAAAGGATTCCCTAAGCAAAGATCTGTTTTGGAGCAGCAAGCGCCTTTGAACTGGAATTTGTTGAGTTGCTCTTGTGTTTGGTTTGCAAGTCGAGCTTTTGTTAGGGAATTCGCAATGCGCTTAGTTTTCTCGGCAGATGCACCACTCTTGGTGCATGTTAGCTTCTCCAGCCAATGCCCGTCCCGTGGTCCGTTTTGCGATCGCCACTGTAAGAAGCAAGGAATATATCCGGAGCTATCTTCAAGATATTGGTTGGACACCAAGAGCCAGGGTTTTGGCCCACTCCTCGGATCTTTTCCTGGAGCTTGATTGTTTCTTGGGCCTCTCGGACGTACACACACACACACAGAAGGACAAGCTCGACTGCTTCAGCAATGCAGTTTTCGGTCAGATCGATTTAGTTTATCAGAAGGAGGCACTATTACTTGGCCTGAATTCATTCCAGGTGAGGCTTGTTGTTCAACAGGAAGTGCTATGCTCCATTGCTTGATTTGATAGGGATTGCAGCTCATACATGAGACAGAAGCCTCCTTCTGAAGAGCAAGAAACCAGCAAGCTACAGCAACGCAAGGCGAGCAAAGCCTTTGGTCGAACACAGGGTATCCCCAACCCTCAGTTGCCACATTTGTGTTTGTTGAGTCCTTAGCTTTGACATATGTGGCACAGCCCATTCCTCTTGGATTCAATGCCTGGCAGTCAGCTGGCCGTTGCCAGGCAACTCCACGGCTACGTGCAGCGGCGGATGAGCCCCCCAGCAGCAGAAGGGGGGGGGGGGGTTTGGGGGAAGGGAGGGTATGGTGAAGAGGTGTGGGGTCTATTTCAAGCACTTTCTTTTGTAGAGACCCACGGCAGGCCACAGGGCACGGGAACATCTCCAAGTTGAGGACCTTGGGAGAATGCCAGCCTGTCCAGGCCAATGCGCAGGTTAAGAATGTGAAGACATCCTGAAAATGTCTCACAGGCAGCCAGTGCGGGAGGAGAGAGGGATGGATGCTTCCTCGGAACTCTTGTTGAGATGACGCTTGTGACCTGATCGGGTTTGTCCCAGGACATGGGAAATCTCCCGACGTGATTGTTTACTTGCCTTGTAAGTGCAATTCGAGCCAGGGGAATGATCTCCGCAGTCTGCAAACAGGTCATGCCACTATGCCACTGCATGCAATTTTCTGGTGGCGAGTGGCGAGGTAGAGATTGGTTCCAACTCCATGATGAATGATTAGTGGCGAGAAGCTGCATGGTCAATGGTAGAGATTGGTTCCAACTCCATGATGAATGATTCTAGTCTGGCTTCAAGCTACACCGCCCTGCCAGGAAGGGGTTGTGGTTTCCAAGCAAATCGGGCCGCCGAATCGCCTTCGCCAAGCGGGGCAGAGGAAAGCCACCCAGCATGGGGTTCTTCCCTCGTGTCCATTTCTCGTTGATGACATTTGGTGACTGATTCCAGGAGCTTTCTTCCAAGATTGGATGATCATACTTGTTTTTTTCTCCTGTGTACAGTCGTATCCCATATCAGATTTCATGGTCTAGATTTCCAGAACCCCACTCCAAATAATGCAATTCCGCCAGTCGCACTTCCAGCCGGCAAGCGGGGGGCGAGCCCGTTCCCCCTGAGTCCCCTGAGTCCCTGAGGCCGCGGCAACGCTGGCTTCCTCCAGGTGAGGGGGCAGGTGGAGCTCGGCGCGGACCTCGGCTTCAGAGGCTCAACGGAAGCTCCGTTCCAGGGCTTGGCTTCAAGGGAAATCCACGAAACCTGACATGGAGGGGTGTTCAGGCAAGCCTATCCTAGAAAGGCATTTGGTCATTGCTTCAAGCGCGAAAAATGGCGTTCCAGAGCGCTTGCGCGGCCAGTTGTTGGCACCAACAGGCTCAACATCGCGGCAAATCACTGGACAGGAGACCCTGTTTAAGATGCTGGTAGAACAACTCCACACACACACACACACAAAACAAACAAAACACTGTGACTTCCAGGATTATTGGAAGGGTTGGCAGAACCTGGACACCCTCCTTACTCCTCGAGGTCCGGGAGGCGTGCCGGGAGGCCCAGTGAGATGAAGTTCCCAAGCTTGGAGGTGGGGTGCTCTAGCCATTCGGGTGAAATTTCTATGGTCGATCCAGCTGGTTGGCTGATTTTATAAGGTTGCAACGTATGCCGGTTGACTCATGGGTATTTTTGGTTGGCAGAGAAAAACAAAACCCCTGGGAAAAACCAGGGTTGCCTTCATCCTTGTTTCTGACTGACAGGAGGTACCCTAGTTGATGCATGGGGGGAGTTCACCCAAAGCTGAGCGATGCTCTCTGTGACATGCAGAGGTGGGCACCCGTGTCAAGTAGGGGTTTGTAAATGCTGGGTCTTCAGGGGGCAATGTGCATCCATGAGCAAGAACTGCATGCCGCAAATTATTGAGGAAGGTCCATTCTTAGTAGGGATTCCTGTATTTTCCTGACTATAGAACCACTGGGGGTCTATTTCCAGACTAGGGAAAAATAGGATCAATGCCGCATTTGACTGATGGCTAAGCGTGAAGGAATTAGTTGAACATGTATGGCCAAGAAGATTCAATATTGTGAGTTGCCAACCAACCCCGCATTGACATCTGGGGCAGGGGCATTCTTGTGAACAGGGACCTTCCTGATTGCTGCAAATCCCAGGGAGGGAGGGTTTACACGTCATGTCGGCATTTTATCTTGCCATGCCAACATTCATGTTTGGTTCTATTGGTTTGTTCGCTGTTTGTGGCGCAGAAGGATGCTGGCTGTTGTTGCAAACATGAGGCTCTCCAGGCCCAGGTGCCGCCCCTCAGTTTGGAATCTTGTCGAGAATCTGCAGCATGACAACTGGGGAGCTGCCTTGTCCAGGACGAAGGCGATGATCAGGGACTGCCAAAACCACAGAGGGGCGTTTCTTGTCTACGTTGAGCGACAAGTGTGAGTGACGAGCGGAGATAGTTGTTTCACTTGCACCATCTTTACCTGCCCTCTGACGCGCAACTCTGCGTAAGCCACAAACCTTTGGGTTCCAGCGACCCGTGAAAAAGGCGAAGAGTAAGCGTTTGTTTGGCTGGATAATCAGTCCCCTCACCAAACGCATGCACATGCAAGTAATTGAGGATTGGGCCAGCGAGCAAATTGATATGAACACCTCATGGGCGTAGCGTTCAATGGGCGTCTTGCGCCCATGCACGTCGCTCAGTTTGGCTCAAGGTGGAGGTCAACATGCGGCGTTTCCAGACCAATCAGACTTCGCCGGCCGTGATTTGCTCTTAAGCTGAGAAGCGAGATTGTTGGAGTCACTTGGGTCCATTTTTTTTT